ACTGGGACTGTGGCTCCTATTGTAACAGGACTGTTCTACTGCACTGGGACTGTAGCTCTTATTTTAATAAGAGTTTACAAAGGTGCTCTCTTTGAACTTTTTAATTTATTGCTGTTGTAATTCTTTTTAAAGTGCTTTGAGATGGACTTGACTGTGGAAAGTGTCTGTTTTAATAAAGTCAATGAATAAACATTTGCATTTCCCATATTAATATGAAATCAATTTTTAGTCACAGGACAGATCCTGTTGTGATGTGACAAATGCAGTGGAAAGCCTACAGTGTAGCTGAAGAATAGGAGCTGTATGCGGAGATGGGCTCTTGGCTGTCAGCTGCCCTTGTCTTTCAGGCTGGTTCTCCTCATTCAGCGTGTTGTGCTCTGTGTTTCGGGCTCCTGTGTGCTTTGCAAAGGAAACTAAGAAAAGAGACGAGAAGCAGCTTTCCTGGAAGCGCCTGGCCAACCCAAGGGCTGACATTTCACTGAGCACTTCCTGATCGAAACCGAGAGGTCGGCTCAGCACGGTGAGGATACGAGAGAGAGACCGGAGCTCTGGTTTCCTAGAAGAGCAATCGAGATTGCTAGAGATCTCGGTTTACTACCGTGTAATCTCTCAATGGACCGAGAAGGCACTTTGTTTTTTTGGTTCTGTTTTTAGAGTGTTGTTTCACCTGTCAAGAAACAGATCACCCGCTTCCTGGCGTCACTGCACAGGCTGCCTGCAAGGTTTTGATTCTCACTCAAGACTCCGTTTTTCAGCAACAGCTCATCTGGCACAGATCGGGCCCCCCATGTTGCTGTATGTGTGTCCCAGTGTGTGTGAGCGATAGTCTGTTTCACCTTCATTTCGCACTTAAAACAACAGACTGCTTCATGACATTATTTCTGAGAAATGTCTTCCTGTGTGAGTCTTGGCTTGAAGAAAATCAAACTGTCTCTTATACAGAAACACTGTTTCTAAACATGTACTAAACATGATATAGTACATGTTTCATGTTCTATATCAGAAGAAATTACTTGCAATTTGTTTCTATTAAGAGGAATGTACAAGATACATTTATATTTGTCAATCCATGTTTATCTGTATTACAAGAAGCGTCTTTCGGTGTTATGGTATCTTTCCAAGAGCATGCAACATTTACCGACAGCTCCTACAAAGGTACCGCAGCAGGAGTGCCAGACCGATGAAGTCTAATGAGGGTGGCCCAGCTGTCTTTGGCTGCAAACTTTGTCTTTGTATATGCAGAAGGCAGGGTTAAAAGTGTCCTTAGAGGGGTCGACACACCAAACATTGTGAAATAAAAGACATAAATTAATATTCACTCATATTATCTATTTATGTGTGTGTCTAATTAGTTCATCTGCTTTATTAGTGGTTCAGTGGTGAGCGGGTTTGCACTGCTGCCTCACAACTCTTGTGTCCCAGGTTCGGTTCTGGGCCGTTGCACCCTCCGTGTGGGTTTCCTCCCACAAAAACGACATGCTGCTGGGTTAATTGGCTTCTGGGAAAACTGGCCCTGGAGTGGGAGTGTCTGTTTCTGTGTGTGTCCTGTGATGGACTGGCGTCCTGCCCAGAGTGTACCCTGCCTTGCACATGTTGTTTGCTGGGATAGGCTCTGGCTCCCCCGTGACGCTGATTTGGATATAGAGGTGCAAAACTGAAAGGATAGATGGATATTCTGGTTAAATCACCCGTATTACAAAGAAAGCACATCACAAAACATACCTTCTGTGCCAGCTGAAAAAATGTGGTGTCTCTCAGCCAGTTCTCATACAGTTCTACAGCGCTGTTATTGAGCGCATTCTGACTGCTTCTGTAACTGTCAATGCTTCTGCCTGCTCGGAAGGCAAACATCAGACATGACAAACATGCTCTTCAGAGGCGAACATTGGCTGTCATCTGCCCTGTATTGGAGATTTGCACAATTCCAGAGCAAATTAAGGGCCAGGAAAGATTGCTGATGACCCCTCCTACCCTGGTTACCACATATTTCATAATCTCCTCTCAAGAAAACGCTCAAGGTCTATTAAAAACAGAACCACCCAGTATTTGAACAGCTTATTTTTGCTTCCCCTGATTTCCTACTTATATGTGCACTGTCTTAATGATGTTTGTGTATGGTTTATGTAGAATGTTTTTCTAGCACCAAGTACACAAGAGTAAGTTCCTTGCACATACTTGGAGAATAATGGGGATTGTCATCTGATCTGAACTGGTGCCTCTATGCTCTGTGTTTGTGTTTACTGTTTGATGCAGTGGTGTATCATCTGGGATGAAGTCTCGACCCCACTTTATTGGACTCATTGGACCCTTACCATAATGTAATCGCCTTTGGGTAATGAGTTTTTTTAATTTAGATTCTCGATGTGCTCGGTGTTCCCTCGATCGACTCGCTCCGCGCTCGATGGCTCGTGCCTGTATCCCGGTGTCGGACCGGAAGTTGTTCGGGATTCCAGGTAAAAGCTACCGGAGATGCTGCCGTCGCCAGAGAAAACAAGCGGAAAGGCTGAGGTATAAATCCAAGTATCGGGGCCGATCGCCTGTCGCGACAGGTAAAGCAGTCGACAGGGGCTCAGGAAGAGGGAGCGAGGTGTGGGAGGAGGGGACAGTGGGGTTCCCAGGGCTGTCATCACAGGGCTGTCGCATCGGTCGGGGCGGTGGGTGCCATAGCAACGGCGCATAAGAAACATTATTTGTCTTCAGACAGACCTCGAGAATTGGCGCCCCGACACTGTCGGCCAGCCACAGATACGATAGCGGCCCCCCGAGATCGCTTGTAGTACTTTGTCGGTTGTGTGTCTGGCTGGCGGGGTGTAGGGGCTCCTCCGGGCGCCTGGCTGTGTCTGAAGTGTGCTGTCGCCGGGCGCTGGGCAGACTGCTCGCCCGGGCTGCAGGAGCTGAGCCGGACAGCTCGACCAGTGTGCGGTCTGCAGTGTGCTGGTGTCTGCGGATCAAATGGTGTCTGGTCTCAGCGGAGCCTTTTTTTTTGGCGTTGTGTTCAAGGTAGCAAGTTGGCTCGTTGAATTCCGAGACGGGTCAGGATGAATAAATTAGCGATTAGGGATAGCTGCTGAGGGTCTGGTTCCGAGTGTCAGGAGGCGCGGTTCAGCCGGTCAGTGGCGTTCAGACTGGCTGTGCTGGAGAGCGCTCCGTGAGCCCTGTTAATTTCTGTTTGAATGACGTAAAATACCCTCCTCCCACTCCACACACACACACACTTTCGCAGAGTTCTTGGAGAATGAGGTCCGTACAGGGGTCATGGCGTGACAGTGCCTGTCAGGGGAGCAGGTCAGTCCTCGGGTCACTGTGTGTGTGTGGAACCGTCCGTGGGCGAGACAGTCGATCTGTGCGTCACTTTGCGAGTTGAGTGTCAGTGTGGAGATAGTCATTGTGTCACCTGGCGAATCAGTCCTTGTGCATATCTCTTGGAAAGATTATAAAATGACAGTTATTGGTCACTGATGGAGTGATATGTCTCCCAAGCACGACTCCAGTGTTAATAGGATCTTTGGATAATGTACAAGATGTAGGATTTACCCCCTCTATTACCACATCCCGTGCAGCGCCCCAGAATATGACTAGGACAGGGGGAACACCAGGCAGAGAGAGGACTCTGATCAGTGTGGGTTTTGTGTCTGGAGATGACATAGTTTTGCCACTGGTGTGAAGAGCAGGTGTCTCGCTGCTGAGCTCCTCACGGGGGGTGCAGAAGCTGTGAAGTGTACATGACGGTGGGTTGGAAATGAATTCACCGGCGAGCTGTGTGTGCGAGTGGCTGTGGTTTTTCGGTTGAATTTTCCACGCTGGCGGCTGTAAGGGCTGGATTGCAGTGCTCCTTGCTGTGAGTCTCAGGGCTTTTTAAAGAGAATTTTTACAGAGTTTCCATGAGCTAGCAGAGCTGTCTGAATGGAGACTGACTCATTAGAGGGACAGGAGTTTCCCTGATTGGATTAATCACTGTCTCTCTTCCTGCTCTACCTCTTTTTCTATCTCTTTATGTAACATACACCTGTGTTTCTCTTTATTATTGTTCACACCAGTCTCTCATGTCTTGACTTTTACATGCCTGTCTCCCCCTCTCCCCCTCGCTGTGATCGCCTGTCTCCCCCTCTCCCCCTCGCTGTGATCGCCTGTCTCCCACTCTCCCCCTCGCTGTGATCGTCTGTCCCCCCCCCTCCCTCTCGCTGTGCTCCCCTGTCTCCCTCTGTCCCTCTCGCTGTGTGCACCTGTCTCTCCCTCTGTCCCTCTCTCTGTGATCGCCTGTCTCTCCCTCTGTCCCTCTCTCTGTGATCGCCTGTCTCTCCCTCTGTCCCTCTCGCTGTGATCGCCTGTCTCTCCCTCTGTCCCTCTCGCTGTGATCGCCTGTCTCTCCCTCTGTCCCTCTCGCTGTGATCGCCTCTCTCTCCCTCTGTCCCTCTCGCTGTGATCGCCTGTCTCTCCCTCTGTCCCTCTCTCTGTGATCGCCTCTCTCCCTCTGTCCCTCTCTCTGTGATCGCCTCTCTCTCCCTCTGTCCCTCTCTCTGTGATC